CTTCCTCCCACCTATCCCCTCCTCTCACCTCAAGCCGCACCCCCATCTCCTACCTACTAACCTCATCCCGCCCCCTTGACCTGTCCGTCCTCCCTGGACTGACCTATCCCCTCCCTAACTCTCCACCTACACTCACCTTTACTGGCTCCATCCCCACCTCTCTGACCTGTTTGTTTCCTCTCCACCTATCCTCTCCTCTATCCATCTTCTATCCGCCTCCCACTCTCTCCTTATTTATTTCAGAACCCCCTTCCCCTCTCCCATTTCTGAAGAAGGGTCTAGGCCCGAAATGTCAGCCTCTCTGCTCCTATGATGCTGCTTGGCCTGCTGTGTTCATCCAGCTCTGCATCTTGTTGTCTCATACAACAATTTATATGTTTTCAAATGCCTGACATTTTACTGTGCTGCCTTCTAAATTATTTCTGGAAGCAAATCATTTCTAGTGATCTTCCCTCACATGGATATTTAAATTAACATTTTATCTTTTCTAGAAAATACAAATTAATAAATTGTAAGCGTAAGTGTGTGGCTAGAGCTCTCTCTTGTGGTAGGGTTTATATCTTCAAGAATTAATTACCCCAGCTTCTTACCTCATCATCAGTCATTGGAAACCTTGTAACTGTCATCGAATCATAAAATCCCTACAGTATGGAAGCAGTTTGGCCTAACAAGTCCACACTGACCCTCAGAGCATCCCACCCAGACCCATCACCCTATAACCCACTGAATCTATAACCCACATCCCTGAACACTACAGGGAATTTAGCATGGCTAATCCACCTAGCCTGCATATCTTTGGGCTGTGGGAGGAAACCGGAGTACCTGGAGGAAACCCATCCAGACATGGGGAGAATGTGCAAACCCCACACAGACAGTCGACCGAGGGTGGAATTGAACCTGGGTCACTGGCACTGTGAGGCAGCAGTGCTAATCACTGAGCCGCCCTGTCCTCCACGTGTCTTTACACTTCACGCATGTTGGAAATATTCTATCCAAGTGGAGAGCACTTCATTTTCGATTGACCTTTCTTTTTGTTGCCAGTACTAGGATTGATGTATGAGATGGGAATCTCTCCCACCAGTTGGAGAACCAGTGGGAACTTTTCTTGCTTTTCTCTGGGGAACCCAAAGTTATTCTGATGTAATCAGGCAGTTATATAGACACCATTAGGTCTTCCATCAGGTTAAGACCCGAGTAGGGATGAAATCTGGGTATGGATGTATTGTGGACTGTGAGGAGAATGTGATGGACTTCAAGAGGACAAAGGCAGGCAGACTGTTGGAATGGTTTGTTAATTAAATCTTTCATAATCCAATAGTTTCACCATTGTGAGTACAAAAACTGTTAGTTCTGCTTCAGATCACCTTTCATTTTGATCAGTGCTAGGAGAGGAAAATTAGTTAACTGCTCAGTGTTCCAGTTATGATTTGCTTCTTTGCTTATTTCCTCTGTCTTCAGGGTTTTTTTAGGCAGCTTTCACAGTTCTAAATATTTCTGTGTTGCTCTTTCTTTGCTACAGCTCTTCAGCACTCATTCTCAGTTGCACTCCTGACAATGTGTTTTGTGCTCATGGATCACTGGTCATGTGTGTAATTTGTCTTTATTTCAATGTTTGTAAAAGTTGCGTAACTATGGCTTGTCAGGAAAGACATTTGTATATGATTGCATTTCAATCCACCTCAGTGAGCTCCTAATAGTGATTTTAGGAATCCTATGCAATGCAAAGACTGCAGCATTACAATACTACAGAATTATTCATCACTGTTAGGAGGAGAAAAACAAAATACTATTACTTGAGAGAGTTGTGTATTAGATTTGCCACTTTGAGAGAGCAACTCGGATAAGGAAGTCTCAACTCCACATGCTACAGATCCCTTTTTCTTTATGCTATCAGTCCCTCATTGGAATATCATTGGGAAAAATACATGTTTTTTTTCTCCCATATTTCAGAGGTTTGCTTTGGGGACCAATAAAGTTTCAGCTGAATTTTGTAAGCAGCAATCATACTGATGTGCTGTGCCAGGCAAGCTACAATACAATGTAAACATGCCTGGCCATAAGTAACTCTGAAGCATGCAAGTTTGTGCCATGTCTGAGTTCACAACATGTTGTAATCATACAAGTCAGATGTAATTTTTAATCAAAATCTATCCTAATTTATATATCAGGAGAATCCCAACAAGAGAATCACTTCTACAAAAGCAGGCATGCTAACTGTACAAATGTTACGCGATACAATGAAATTTCTTCAAATGCACTAAAATAATTTTGTTTGTCAGAATCTCAAAAGACATCAAATGGTAATAAATGTAAACAAAATATACACAGTAGTACAACAGTATCTGGAAAGTTGAGGATCAATATAATATTTTGAGTGGAGACCTTTTCTCATTTCAGTTATTCAGCTTTCTAACATTCAGCCTTTACATTTTGTGACTATGTAAGTTTGTGGTTATGCTGTGCTGCCTGTTTGAGATCAGTAACAACTTTAATAGAGCTCCACAGCTGTCTACCTTTAGGTCTGAGTGTCAGTAGAGGTCACTGCAAATGCTTACTAGCAATGTATTGACACAACACCCTTTGTAATCAATTTACTTTGACAGCTGCTAGTGCAACGTTGTAAATGTGCAGAGTTGAATCTTTAAGGAAACAGAAAGATTTCCTTGCATTCTCCTCACGCTGTAGATCTGTCAGAAGATCAACAGAACTCCAGAGAAATGGCATTGATCATTGATCAGATGATCATTGTCAGCTATTTACTCCATTTTTCTGGGGTCCTCTTGATCTTGCACCAAAATTCCAGCAACCCCTACAGAAATACAAGGCGAAGGTTAGACTTATGTTTACAAAATATTGAGGCTTCACAGAGCTCACAAACACTTCTAAAATCTACTTAATATGCATTGAATTTATGCTTCATGTGGTATCACGCCCAAAAGATGGTGATATAGCACCCACAAGATCTCTCAGGTTTGAATCTCTTTCTAAAAATATCTTACCAATTTTTGCATTGCTGTGAGGTAGAACCGACTTTGCAACAAATGGGACAATATCACAGCAGTTAACATCCTCAGAAAATGTTTAGTTCTATTTCTCCTTCCCTCTATTTCTCCTTGTCGTATGAAGAGTAGTTGAGGACTCTGGGTCTGGTCTCATTGGAGATTAGAAAGATGAGGGGGGAGTCTCATTGAAACTCTCAGAATACTGACAGGACTAGATAAAGTGTATGTGGAGAATATGTTTCCACTGGTAGGAGAGACTAGGATCCGAGGACACAGCCTCAGAATGAGGGGACAATTCTTTACTGCTGAAATGAGGGGGAATTTCTTCAGCCAGAAGGTGTTGAATCTGTTTAACTCCTTGCCACAGAAGGCTGTGGAGAACAAGTCACTGAATGTGTTTAAGACAGAGATAGGTAGGTTCTTGATTAGTAGGGGTGAATCAAAGGCTATGGGGAGAAGGCAGGAAAAAGGGGTTAAGAAAAATATTAGACATGATTGAACGGCAGAGCAGACTTGATGGGCTATATGACCTTATCCTATACCTAATGGTTTTATGGTCTTCCTGAATATTTAACTTTTGTGATAAAAGGAAATTAAAATTCAAATACTTCAATTGCTTGCTGATGTATTAACTGAGTTCATGCAGGACTAAAACCATTAGTTCTGACAGTGAAATATCAGTTTATTCATCTTGATCAATCAAGTATCCTTCAGAAGGGTGAAACTTATCACAGATAATTTTAAAGGGTCTCTGCAGCTCAATGGTTCCTTGAAATTGTCTTGCAGCTGATTTATTTATACTTTCAAAGCACAGCTCGGGTATTTCTGGAGACTGGAGTCGATTGGTCTAAGGAGGACTCATTGCCATAAAGAGAAAGTCATGTTTTGCTGACCCATCACAGAAAGCAATTTATACTGCTTGCTTTTGAAAACTGTCTGTGGCTTACCAGACTTCACCTCAGCTCTCAAGTCTCACTGCCCTCTGTTCGGCTTCTGTGTCCCAGGTGAGCTTTAATTTTGATTTGCTATTACTTCCTATATCCCCTTAATAATTGCCTGTTTAGCCATATATTAATATTTTCAACCTGTTGCCCACATTTTATGATTGAAAGCTCTCGTATTTTGATTCAAATGTTTTTCAAAAGTATTTAAAGTTTAATTGTGACCATTTGTGCAGAAAATAAAGCAAAATTGAGTCTATGGTTGTGATTTAATATTTTTCTTTACATATTAAATGTTATTTGATTGGTAAACTTTTTTGAAACTGTTCAAAATAATCTCTCTCACAAGAATATGTCCAATTAAGCATGCTATTGTTTTTAACAATCATTACATTCCACAAAGGATGTTAAAGAATGACAACAATTTAATAATTTTACAATAAGAACATTATAATTTCACAATTTCAAAGTTAAGGTTTGCATTTTTCTTCACTGGTTAATGGTTTTCATCAGTAGAAGCAGGGGTATAAAAGTCTGGAAATGTTCTCCAGTTTTTGCAAAGTAAAAGCTTGGTTTCTTCAGTATTTTTCCTGCACACTAGCATTTTTCACTTTTGACTGGTTTTAGGCTGTGTGAGATTGAGAAGTGACTGGCCCTAAGGATCTCATTGACGTGCACCTGCTCCCCTTGGTACACTGACCAAATTTAGAAACACTTTCTCAAATTAATTTTCAAATGCCTCCCATTCTTCAGGATATAGTTTCTGCACAGCTCATCTTTCCCTCTTGGGTCTGATTTGAAAAAGTGTTACAAGTCACCCAATACTTCAACGTTGAGATCTTCTTTTCCATCTCCACATTGATTAATTGAGTATCCCTGCAACACCAACAATAGCATCTTTGTATAAAAATATTATTGAGGATATATGGATCAATCATTATCAGTAAAATAGCTACATGAAGTTAAATGACTAAGTTGGTAATTTTATTTTTTTATTAACAGGTCATAAAACACAACCACCAAAATGGGAGAGTGAGTATTACCTGTTGTTTAAAAAATTGTGATTAGTTTGTACTATTTCTGGTATAACAGAAACAAAATTGGGAAATTAATTTCAAAATTGATACGTTCTTCAGTTCAGATTAACAGGAGGAAGAAACAGGCCACATGTTGCTTGGATAAGGCCAGATTTTAACTCATTCAAAACCCAGTGCCTTTGATGTTTAAATTGGGATTTAATGAGAATCTGAATAGGATAGTGGATCACAAGGATTTTGGAAGTATAAATACACAAATTTATAAATGAAGTAACATGTTATTAAGGCTATAGAAAAGGAAACCATGCATTTGCATTCATTTCTAGAGGAATAGAACTGATAAAAGAAGGTTTGTTATCCTTATTTTGAACTATGGTTAGATTAATGTAGAGAACTGTGCAAAATTCCATTATCTACATTATTTAGATACATAGAGACATTGGAAAAGGTGCAAAAAACAGTCACGGGGATGGTACCAGAACTGAGAAGATATAAAAATCGATAAAGGTTCAATAAGCTGGGGCTTCTTTTTTCTAGAAGAGACAAGTCTGAGAGAAGGCATTTAAGATAATAAAAAGGTCGGTAAAATGTTTCTGCTTGTGCAGAAAGCAAAAATGGAAGTCATAAACGTAAAATAGTTACAATTAGTTTCAGTAGGAAATTCAGGAGTAAGTTCTTTGTCCAAAGATGGTAAAAATGTGGAAAATTATGAGAAAGTGCATTGATTTGAGTAAGGGGAAGTTAGGTAAGTATGTGAGGGGGAAAACAATGGAAGGATAGGGTGATATTGTTATACAAAGCAGGTTGGCAAGAGACTCGGGTACAGCGTAACAACCGGTCAGATCAAATAGTCTGTTTCTGTAATGTAGGAGCTGTAAAACTCTATTTAATCTCTAGCTAAAGTTATACATTTCTGGCACCTGATATCTTCGAGGTGATAATCAATGAAATGTGGAGAATTTGAACTTTGTGCAGATTCTAATGAGTTGTTCTTTTCCTTTACAGTGACGAGGTAAGGTGTTGGGTGCTAATCCCATTGCAACGTGTTTGTGGCTGTTTGATATTGCTGGAATGAATGTAATCTTTTTCATAACTGAAAGCTTCCATTCATTGTGCTGTCCAAATCATTTTAAAATAGTGCTCTCTGTTCTAATATAGTAATGCTGTCATTAAAATATCTGGGAAATCTAATACTATCTGTGTGAGCAAGCAAAGCACTTTTCTTTTGTCGTGGTAAATTACCACAATAGTGAGCATGGGAAATGGTTGTGCTTTCTGCACTTGACCCATGAGATCAATTAAGAAGATCATCCTTCCAAAACTGGGCTGTGTGTAGAGCTATACAATGTACAGATTAAGTCATGTTACTTTGCTGCTGAAGATGGTGATGATAGTGCAATTGAAGCTGATGAATTACGAGGTATATAGAGTGCATAACAGTGAAATATAATGAATGCTAGAAATCTGAAGTAAGAAGTGAAAATGCTAGGGATATTCAGCAGCTCTGGCAGCATCGGTGGAATGAGAGCCATTTCATTTTGATGTTCTTTCATCAGGCTGGCTTTCACGAACATTTGAAATAAAGCACTGGTTCTTGCTCCATTTATTTCTTCCTTTCTCTTTAAGATGGTGACTGATACTCGGATACTGTGCAATGGGAAGCCTCTGTTACTTGACAGGCTTTAAAGAATAAAATTTGGTAGGCTATGAAATTAGAATCCACAACATGATGACGGAGACTCTGTTTAATCTGCAATTACATTTTCTGTTTCTTGTCAACAGACTGTGATAGGAGGGCAATAATTATCTTACTTGAGCTCAGTGCTTAAGTGCTACAATTAAATGCCAAATTTTAAAGCAGCGTGCAGGAACCCATGGCGGGGATTCATATATTTAAATCTCTAAAGGTGGTAGGCCAAGTTACTTAGGCTGTTTAACAGAAGCAGACACTAAGTGCAAAAGAAGAGCACGTGTGGTAATCCTTATAAATCACTGGTTATATAATGTGTACGTATCTATTCTCTGAATAATTCCTGGAAGAACAGACTGGGCCTCAACCATATAACCAACAATCATTGCTTTCAAGTTATGAGGCTATGCAAATTCTTCCCAGCCATCGGAGAAAAAAATCTGTAACTACAGCGAAAACTTTTAATCTGCCTTATTTTAAACAAACTGATAATTGCAAGATAATAGAGGTGCTGTTTTATTGCTGTCGCCAGTTCTCTGGAGTTTCCCTCAGGCTAGATGGACAGCTTCCACAACACTGGGAGTATTAAATAAAGCTTATGTATTCAGTTAATACACGTTAATTTTTCCATTGGTCTCAAAAAAATTGTACCATTTCTCAAGCAGTTTCCCCTTTGTTTGCTGGTTGCAAAAAGAGTATTTTCCTGACACTCAACAAGCTGCTATCACCACATTGGTCACATTACATTTAAATACAGATTGCTGATTGCAAAGTGACTATGATTCAGTAAATTGCCAATTGTTAAGATCAGTGATCAGTCTTAGCTATCCTATCAGTTCTGCGGAAGGGTCATCAGGCCCAAAACATTAACTCTGTTTTTTCCTTCACGGATGCTGCCAGACCTGCTGCGCTTTTCCAGCAACTTCTGTTTTTATTCTTAGGTATTTTATCATCAGGTGATGTTAAGACAGAATCATCCATTGTTTGGTGATGATACAAGCTGTATAGCATCTCAGCAGTTCAATATTAGTTAAAATATTATTTAACAGCTTTCTTTATGTTTCAGTAGGTACAGCACAGCTCAGTAACCATTCAGTGCAGAATGGTCTTAAAATTTGACCCTCTTTTTGTGCTCATTTAACCTCTTCATACTTGGATTTTGATAGAAGTGATATGAATGGCCTGAACTTACAGTCTACTCAGGCTCCCAAGACAATACATATAAATTCTATCATTATATAAGCTGATTCAACACTATTTTATCTGACAAATTATTTTTGTCTCAATTTTTCAATGCTCTTTACCTGAAGACAATGCTTAATAGTGAGCTATAGTCGAAAAGTGGAAGCCAATTTATAATTAACGCTTTAATCCCAGCTTCAGAATGACATTCCTCACTTCTGCAGGAGAAACAATTTGACAGTAAAGCTACCTTAAAATGTTGATTTACATATGGAATCTTTGAAGTCAGGTGATCTATTCTCAGAAATTACAAATGAAGTTCAGATAAGAAGACTGGCTACTTCAGTCTGATTGAAGTAAAGTCCAATAGACTTCTAGATGTTGTACCAATCACTACTGCTCACCACTTTGACAGTGTTCCAAATTGGACCCTGTTCCAACACAGGGAATGCCGGGGTATGTAGGAAGGAATCAAAAATACAATAGGCCCATGAGCAAAGAAAATGGTTTAATTAAAAACAAAGACATAGGAGGACAGCACTGACTACAACAAATCAATGGAGAGATGGGTAGAACACTGCCTTTAGTTGTACTCCAGGTAAATCACCATCACCAGGGAGATCTTATAAACCATAGGGAGCGTGTCCATCATGCAACAGCTGTATGCTAAACCCACAGTGAATATACTTAGTGAAGATTTTGACTCATTTGTCATCGAAAAACTGCATGTAATGACACAATACTGCTTGAACTCATCAAGCACGAATGTGTCTTTGCTTGAGGGAGGATGTAGTAATTCCATATGTACGTGAAGCTAAGTTTGTGACACTGCACAAGAACATGGGTGAATGCAGTGATTATAACCATTGAGGCAACTCACTGCTAAGCAGTCTGGAAAAAGTATTTGCCCATGTTGCCCTTGCCAGACTACAGATCCTGGTTGAATGCATCTACCCCAAATTCCTGTGTCATTTCAGTTCTGTAAAATCTACAAACAATATGATCTTCTCCATCCAGTAGCTGTGAGAACAATGCCATGAACAAAGGAAGGCATTATACATTGCCTTCATTAACCTTACCAAGGCTTTCAGCCAAGGGAGTACTGATTACATAGTTAGGCTGCTGGAGAAAATTAGCTGCCACTTAAGTTTGCTAAATATAATACCTTCTTTTCAATGAGAATATGAGGAGTAAGGTTCACTCAACTCTGAAGGAGTCACATTGGAAACCTTTGAGATTTGCAGTGGGTCAAACAGTGTTGTGTCTTCATACTACTGCAGTCATATGCCTTTTGGTCATTTACTGACAGCATGTACTTACATCGCAAAACAGGTGGAAAACTGTTCAGCCTTGCCCATCTGAAATCCAAGGAAAGGGACTGCCATGCCCATAGCAGGGATTTATCCTATGCTGATGATGCCATACAACAATTCCATATCAAGAAACAGCTTCAGTGGCAAATGGACAGAGCACTTAAAACCTCTAAAGAGTTTAGCTTGACCATTAGCATCAGCAAGATAGATGTCATAGTCCAGAATGTTGCCATAACATCATTCATCAGCTGTATTCACAATGTGACCCCAGAGGTTGTTGACAGTTTCACATATCCAGCCTCCACAATCCCCAACAATTTGTCACTCGATGCTGAAGTCAGCACACTCCTCACAAAAGCTGTAGCTGTTATATTGAAGTGGAGTAAGAGTATGGAACAGCAGCAACCTGACTGAGAACAGCAGGTTTACTGAGCCAGTCTTCTGCACCTTACCCCTCTTCGACGTGAAACCTGAACAACTCACGCCAGGCACATGCAAACACTGAGCAGCACCCACATTTGCTGTCTCAGACATATCTGTGACATATTTTCGCAGGGGTGGGCACCAACCCAGCAGTCCTGGTACATGTTTATTCCAAAGCATTTGCTCATCACTAGGTCAACAATATCATTAGTTGGGTGATAGATGTATATCCAAAGCCATACTGAATGGTGAACTGGTCACTGTGTCAATACCTGCTGGAAGTCCATATCTCCACTGCAAGAAGTCCTGCAGGAAAGATATGATAATAGTGAACATGGACAATGACAAGCAAGGAGGAGTCACTGATGGCTGTGAACCCTGAGGGTGACTAGCCAGTAGGACTTTGAAAGAGGCAAGAAAAAGAGCTCAACTGACTGACCCCACTGCTTTCACTTGTGTTAAATGTAGCAGAGGCAGCCAATGGTACTCCTAAATCACACTGGGTGATGCTTAACACAGAGCTGACCAGTAAGCCACAACCCATAGGCTTGGATATGCAAGACTGCTATTATTTTTATATAATATCTGTTTTGTGACTATTTTCAAACTGAATTTAAATTGCCATGGAAACATTTGAACTCAAGTTAATTACATTAACAACTAAATTGAGCTGACTGAAAGTGTATCAGCCTCTTCAATGGTGGTGAAACACAAATTGGCGGGGTTTGGACAACTAAAACTTCACAGACAATCATGAGAATATGTGGCAGTGCAATATTTTTAAACAGTAAATTATTATTCGTGAAATGGTAACCTTAATAGTGTAGATCTTTGTCAAAGAGCAGATTTATCTGTAGGATTCAAGACTGTCCTATCAGAAGCCTGCACTGTGTGTGGCAAGTCATCTGGTTGTAGTATTGCTCTAACTGACCAATGAGGAGGTTTGCCATGTACCTAAGAATGGTGCAGTCTAATGAAGCTTGAGAGTCAATGGGGAGGCTCTTTTGCACTGATCAAGCAGTAGATTGTCTTGTTAGATAAGTATGACAGAAGGTGCCTCTTTTCATTATTTTTACAGTTAAAATATTTATAAACTTTCACAATGGGTCACCATTCTGAAGGAGCATCACCTCCACAATGAGGCCAGTGGCTTGTACGCCTAGTCCTGGCCCTTCCACCCCGCTCTAATGCTGAGAGGGAGAATTGGCTATGGGCTGCCTGTCAGTGTGTAGCCCAGCCAAGGCTATGTCCCCAAACCTGTCTCTGGGAAAATGGCCCAGAATGGGATAATACCAGGAAACTGACACACTGGACCCAGGCCATCCCTGCTCTCTTCAAGGCATAACTATTCCATTTCATTTTGGTGAGAAAGATGGAATAAGTCCAGTGGTTGAGTCACACGAAGCCTGGCTTTTAAAATAGTGTAGTTTTGTTGGAAAATGGTTTGTTGGAATGCAATTCTGAGACAATTTGTTTGACTGGAAGAGACTTCACACTAATAGCATGTTCCTTTGTTCTGCCAACCATTTGAAATAATCTGTTTTTAACTTACTTTCCGATCCTTCTCCCTTTTTTCTGTTCCTTGATCATTACAGAAAAAATCCAAGATGACCTCTTCTCGCAGAATGCATCTGAAGGTAACTTTTCAGCCTATTATGCATTTTCTTTATACTGAGTATAATGTGAAATGTCTTAATAGTTTCTCATATAACTTGCTGCTTCATTTCATATGCATTTTAGAGTTTACTGCTGTCTCTTGCCAAAACTGCACTTGAGAAGGAAGAAGCAGATCGGATAGCAGAGAAGGAGAGGTATATGGAAGAACATTGTGGACATCTGCAGACTTCTGGGCTTTCAATGGCAGATCTGCAGGTTAATACAAGATCATTTTCTGAAAAATCAATCTATGTTTCTCCTTGTTAGATTGTAGAGTCGAATTATCTGCAATTAGGGAACATGGATAAAAATTCTTTGGCCAAGTCAACATAGTGGAATGTTTTCCATTAACAGTCTGGGCAGTTATCTGTACTTTCACCAAGAAAATGGGAAATACTGTTTTAATTATCAGTTGTGTCACTTGAATACAGTCCCAAACCCATGACTTGCTAAACAAATATATTTTATGATGGTGGGTTTTTTTTTCACATGCACTCAAATCCATGTTGTCTTTGACAACCAAATGATCTAATCTGTAAAATTTAATACAGTAATTCACAAATCACAACCACAAGAAATTTTCTTTTTTTTCCATATTTTCTCTCTTATAACCCATCTCTCATTGAACAGTCCATGCCGTAATTGGGAAAGTAGGTCTGCTTCCAAGGTCTCACTGTCTATTCACTATTACTATCAGGGCGGCATGGTGGCTCAGTGGTTAGCACCACTGCCTCACAGTGCCAGGGACGTGGGTTTGATTCCAATCTTGGGTGACTGGGTAGAGTTTGTATGTTCTTCTGTGTCTGCATGGATTTCCTCCCACAGCCCAAAAATGTGCAGGTTAGGTGAATTGGCCATGCTAAATTGTTCTGTAGTGTCCAGGCATGTGCAGACTAAATGGGTTATCCGTAGTAAAAATGCAGGATTACAGGGATAGGATGGGATTCTCGTGGAGACTCAATGGGCCAAATGGCCCCTTTCCATATTGTAGGGATTTTATTCTGTTCTGCAGGAGGACCCAGAGGAAAAGGCTGCTTTATGGGTAGAAGCGGACATTTCCATTTCCCTTCGTGGGAACTGCCTTGAGAACTTATTTCAGTTAAAGCATATATTTTGAATAAACCTTTTCAAAAAAAAACTTCCCCTTTTGTATCTTCACTGGGAATTTGGTGCAAACAGGGTTTCTGGACCACTTTTGGTAAAACGATAATGACACAGCAGTAGTACTCCTGAAGAAATTGAGGACCAATGGTTCATCTCCTTCATGCTAACATCTCATTGATTCTTCCAGCTCTTCAATACCACTTGGCAGTCAATTATTTCTTCCCATCTGAACTTATTGGTCCACCCAATGTAGTTCCTAAAAGGCCCTTTGTCAATCCCAGTTATGAAATGAAAGAGCTTTAAACCACACTGCAATAGCACAATGAAAAGAAAGATCCAGTGTTGTTGCAATGTTGAACTTTCTCACGTCTATCTCAACAGGACTTGTGCAGGAAACTTCATGCAAAGATAGATGTTGTTGATGAAGAGAGATATGACATGGAGTCCAAAGTTGCTAAGACCACCAAAGAGGTAATGTCACCTTTTTAAATACCCTCACAAGCACCCTCACCATCTTTTATTCTTTTTTGGAAAAACATTTTAGATTGATACAAAGCACTAAAGCAATATAAAGTCCTTTGACACTTAAACCTGTACCCATGTTATTGCATCATATGAATGAGCTGTAAAGTAAAGCATTTATATTGGAAACAAGGACAGAATTGAGGAGACAAAAAGAAATCAACTAATGGATGACAATCATGAAGTAATCACTGGTGTGGGCTTTGAAATTGCGAAATGAACTAATAATAAATCAGCAGCTCATTTTACACTGCACCCCATTTTCTTCTCCATAGAAATGTCAAGTGATTCATAGCCCTAATGTGCATTATTCACATTAAACAATTTTGCTTAAGTCTTGTTAATAGATCATAAAATGAGAAAGTGTGGAATGAGGAATGCTCATTCAGCAGTTTGTTTATCCACAAACCAATGGTTGATTTGCTTAGTCATGGGTAGAACCCCATCAAATTAATCTGAGTAAAAATTTGTTGATTCCTTAAACTTCTGTAAAACATGATACTTGTGTAATAGATGTTGGTCTAATACAATATTGTAAGAGAAGTAGTTGGCAGCATTTCCAACTTCGCCTAAGGGACACCAACAGAGATTCTCCAAGAGCTGTGTAAATAGGTTTGCAGCAAATATCTAAGCAATTTAGAGGTTCTCTATAGGTGTAGAACACTCTGAAAAAAGAACCAGGTAGTTTGAACATTCAATAACTTCCAACAGAAATGAAAATTCTCAAGAATCTGGAACTAAAGGGCACAGTTTAAAAGTAAGCAGTATCTCATTTCAAACTGACATGAGGAGATGTTTCTTCTGTTAAAGAGTCATTAATTTTTGGAATTCTGTTTCCCACTTAATATGTACATGACCAAGCTTGACAAATCTTTGATCAGCAAGGGAGTGAGGTTTATGAGTCACAGGCAGGCAAGTGGGGTTAAGACCACAGTCAGATCAGCCATGATCTTACTGAATGATGAAGTAGGCTTCATGGACTAAATGGCTTATTCCAGCCTCTTTTTTTTTTTACAATCATTGGTCGTAAATGTTCGTGACCAAGCAGTTACTGCTAGTCTTTGGGGTCTGCAGCTTCACTCTTTTGCTGCTCCTCAATCCCAGTGTAAGATGCCACCTGGGCAATCCTGTGCCCAGAGACAATCAAACAAAGTAAACATTCAGGCCCAGGGATTCAACCTTTCCCCACATACAAGGTGCAGCTGCATTTCACTAGGCCAATTACTTTGTAAAAGAAAAGCCAGGAGGAAACAGAACCTGCTGCTGTTGCAAGCAGCAATTTAGCATCTCTATTTCAAACTACGTCTCTAGTGTTAATATTGTTTTCAATCAGATATTTCTTTCCTTTCTGAATGGATCAATCAGTGACAATTGCTTTTGTTCTTGCTGTTCTACCTCTGTTTATTATGTTAGTAATTCACATATTATACACAAATTGCAATTGTCAAATATTTGCAAAGTAGGTTCCATTAATATCTACAGTACAAAATGGCCGTAGTCCCAAAGCCACTGTCTCTGTAGAGACACAACTGGTGCTGAGTTTAACCTGAGGGTCACAATACCTCAGACAAGGAAGATAAGGCAGGACCTTTATCATAATCTCAGCCAGTACAAGAATGAAACCTACAATATTGACATCACTCTGCATTGCAAATCAATCAACCATCCAATGGAGCTAATTGACCCATTGAAGCAGGTATTAGTAAACATCCCTGAAAGATTATGTTGACATTGAGCAGTTATGTTGTTCAATTATCTCCTAGATACAGAGATTTGATTTAGGCATTGGAAAGAATGCCAAAAATGTGTACTGCTGTACCTTGTTTGAGGTCAAACACAAAGAAATCATGTGACCCTGTTTTATTTTTTAAAGATTGTTTTTGTTCTTTTTGAAATAATTGCATCTTCCCATGCTGCACACAGTATTCCTGCTAGGAAGGTGGACATGTACCTCACCTTCTGATCCCTGCTAATAGAACTCTGAAATTAGCGAAACATACCCTGGGTAACCACACTTTTAGTTCCTAAGGGAAATCTAGCCTTCACTCTGAATCCTTTCTGACCACTACAGCAATATGCCAAGTAGTCATTGTTTCAATGTGCTGTGCCACTGCAGAGCTGTTAACCATAGTTTGCATATGAACAGCATGCAACGTTGTTGTTACAAATTAAACTGAAAACATATTTGGGGTCCTGAGTAAGAAGAATATTTTAGAAAAGTCAAACTCAAATCTATGATCAAAATTTAAGTTACTCAAAAACCATTCACTTATACTGAGATAAAATTGGATTCATTCATGACTTCATAGACATCCTAGGCTTCAACTAAAGGGCTACAATATGGAGTAATCCTTTCAATTACTCAATGATATGTCAAGATTTGATTCATAATATTGTCAAGAATAGTGTTGTTGTTGTGTTTTTCTACAGTAGTAAAAAACACAGTGACGTCTGAAATGAGTTTGGCCATGAATAGAAGTTCCTCCGTACTTGCCTCCAGAGGAAGCGTACTCCGCTAAAAAAATTGTGTACCTGATTATAACAGGCAATAATGAGGATGCAGGCCCAATACAAGGATTGTGGAGTTGTGGAGTTGTGGAAGGGATGTGCATGAGTGGTGGAGTGGCACGCTGCTTCTCTTTGTTTCATGTAAATGACTACAGTTTGTACCTCCCTAATCCAGTGGTATTGGGAGCAGACCTTTATTGGACAGTGTAATTTGTCAGACTACAGAAGGTGATATGTCAGGGTTAGCACGGGTGTTATTAAACCAATTCTTTCTCTACTCCTGACCCTCTTCTACAGTGCTGAAGGCACTGACTTGTGCAAGGTGTCAATCTGTGAAGATGAGAGAGAGGTGATCAGTGCTGAGAACTCCTGCATACTGCTCTTTAAACTACCTTTCAACAGTTAAATGCAGGGAAATCTTCCTTGCTGCACTGCAAAATGTGTTTTGTTTAGAAAACTGGAATTACTGCAGGTGCTGGATCCCAGAGCTTGCTGCACTAGAGAGTGCAAGATTAGGAAGGTACAATCTGTATTAGAATAGGAGGTTAAAATTTACTTCAGTTGGCAATGACCTTGGCTACTGGAAAATCCTAGACAGGACACACCCAACAAATGCTCCTGAAGTAGTCAACAAATTTTACAGCTGGGCCTTGCAGTAAGTGTTAGGCTCTTCGTTTCATATTCACGTCATCTAGCTCCCATCTTAGGTAGCTGTCTGCCTATAAAAATGATGCAATGATTGGTTGCAATTTCTTGCACTGCTAAATTAGTATGTTTTTCATTTATGTTACATGCAATAAGCACAACATGTTACAATTTCTACACTATGCAAAGCAGAATACTTGTTTGGAGCTATGAATTGAGGAAAAATGGTGTCAAACTTGCTCCACTGAAGTAAAATGACCATAGCACAGAGACAGAAGCAGTTCTGGTAAATTTCCACTTTCCTCTCGTTTTTAACATAATCACTTCCACAAAGATACAGGGATAATGAATGCATTATAATGGTGTAGCGAAATATTCACACGAGAAAGTTTCAAGTGATTGTGACAAACATGTTACTCAGTTGTTTCCTTATGATACATAATCGATTTTTGTTTATTATCTTTACTTAAGCATCCTCTTGATAAAAATCGATGAAGTTCTGCAGTGAATAAATAGAACACTAAGTGTGCTCAATGAAAAACTAAGTTGCATTCTTTCGAACAGGATCAACATTGCATTTTCTCTAAGCAGAATAGAGCAACAATTTCAATATTGTATAGGAAAATTCTTTGGTGTGAACTAACAGAAAACTAAGCTTGTTGTATCGTATTCTTGATCAACATTATCATCTTTGAGTAACCAAAGTTTCCAAGGGTCTATTGAAGGAAGATGTTACACTTGGATATGGGAAGATGTTACACTTGGCGTGGGTTTCCTCTGGGTGCTCCGGTTTCCTCCCGCAGTCCACGGATGTGCAGGTTAGGTGGATTGGTCAAGTAAATTGTCCGTAGCATCTAGGGGCGTGTAAATTAGGTGGATTAGCATGGGAAATGCCAGGTCACAGGGAAAGGGCTGGGAACGGGTCTGGGTGGGATGCTTTTCGGAGGGGCGCTGTTTCCACACTGTGGTGATTCTATGATTCTATGACATCTACTGGGAAGCATGTTGAAGGTGGATTAATGCAAAAATTTTAAAGGCAAGATTCCAGAATGGCACAAACAACTAAATCAAAAAATAATCAATAAGAGGTGTTAAACTTTGGTTTCTTTAACAGGCTTGTCCTCCCTGAATGTTCCTTTTATAGCATTTTCTAGAAAATTATCAGGACTTTTCTGCTCCCTTTAAATGTTCTGACCGTGATTAACTCTTTAAGACTTTGCAAATTGTATCAGGAGTTCACCCTGCATAAATAATGAGAGGAAATAAACTGTGATTGGGCTGTGGAAGCTCCTCGAGCACGAATAAGACATTCCAAATCCAATTTCAACGCAATGAGAATGAAGGAAATCCTAAGATTGTGGAGCATCTCATATTGCATCCCTCAATATGTTTGACCCATTTACAACAATAGCTTATGTCTTTATATAGTGCCTTTAATATAATAAAAGTCTCAAAGTACTTCACAGGAGCATTGTAAAAGCCTCATGAGAGATACAGATGACCAAAAGCTTAGTTAAAGAACTAGTCAGTTTTAAGATAACAAGGTGTAGAGCTGGATGAACACAGCAGGCCAAGCAGCATCAGAGGAGCAGGAAAGCTGATGTTTCGGGTCTGGACCCTTCTTC